ACATATAGATAGATAGATAGATAGATAGATAGATAGATAGCAACCTGAAATAAAAACCAGAGAAGCTTGAAAATTCATTCCTTTTGCAGCAGAAAGATAAGGCTTTCTTCTGTGACATCATGCAGTATGCATGTAATGATGTCACTGCACTATCTTACTTGTGGTGCAAAACTGCGTAGTGGCACCAGAGGAATAAATGATGAGTTTATCACAACTCCTTTTCACTCTGCTCATAAGAATGAGAATATCTCAAAAACAAAAACAATTAACATAATTGTAATAACTTATGGAAAAACTTTGTTTATGTTTCTACATTTAAAAATCTGTTGGATCAATATGTTTTGTTTTTCTTATTTTGTCAAATCGGATGAAAAAAAAATCCAATTTTTGATACTCTCAGAAATGACATCACAATAAGCAGAATTAACAATGTAGGCACTGGCAGACCATTTCCATTGCAAAGTTTTAAAGAAAAAGTTGATTTTAATTGGAAGCAGGTTGAAGTTATCTAGCTACACTGGCAGCTTTTTATGCTTTCTTTCATTCCTTCTTTATTTATTTTAGAAAATTAGATTTTAGGACTGAATAATGGACAGAAAGCACTCAATCAGATGGGGATTTTGCCTTGAGGGGACATTCTGCTTCCATAACAAGTGCTTGTCCTTCTGATACATAATATACATTTTGTTGATAATGTTCTTGTACTTCTGCTTACGTTAGTCAAACTTTGAACATAGGAGTTTTATCAGTGTTTTTAAATTGTGTTTGTGTTTTAAAAATGTTTTACCCATTACTGAATTAAAGATTATGATACTTCTTCCACCACTGCAAATTCAGTAGTTTGTGCATTCTAAAAATGGTGGGCCATAGCTTCAGTCTGCATCTTTTTGTTTTGTTGGAAAATCTTTTTGGTAAGTTGTATTATTTTCTGCTATACAGTTTTATTTGGCATATTTTGTTGCTAATTTATTATTGGTCTAAGTGTTTCTCTAATTATGAACAGAACAGAATTAATTTGAAATTTTAATGTTAACGCCTGTTTTCTCTCTGTAGGTTTGACTGTATGTGTTTGAATAATAAATCTACTTCTGGTGATTCACTTTCTAAAAATGTTTTGTGGTTTCAGTGTGTGTTGTTTGTCATGAGTAGATCTCTTTTGTTGATTATCCTTTAGGTGTTTATTTAATCCATCTGTTTTTCTCTCTTTCAGTCATTCACTGACCTGCAACATCGCCCTCAGCTGGTTGACCTGACAGTGGAGGAGGGACAGAGGTTAAAGGTCATCTATGGCTCCAGTGTTGGCTTCCATGTCATCGATGTGGACTCTGGAAACCCCTACGACATCTACATCCCCTCACATGTTAGTCTGTGTGTGTGTGTGTGTGTGTGTGTGTGTGTGTGTGTGTGTGTGTGTGTGTGTGTGTGTGTGCGCGCGTGCGTGCGTGCCTGCGTGCGTGCGTCTGTCTAAATTATGTCCTGCTATGATAGACATTATTTGAACATTTTCCTTTTTTTAAAACATTTATTGCATGTGATTGCATGTTTAAATTGAGTGATTGTAAGATCAAGTTGCATAATTTAAGGAATGAATGAATGAATGAGTGAGAGCAGGTGAACTAATGATTGAGAAAAGATGAAATAACAAATGTGTGACCGAGTGAACAAGAACAAATGACAGAGTAAACTTATGAATTAATTAATAGATGACAGGGTGATTGAATGAAGGAATAGCTGCTTTAATGAATGAGTGAATGAATGAGTGAGTCAGTGAATCATTAAATAAATAAGTGAATGGATAAGAGGGTGATTGAATGAAGGGATAGCTGCTTTAATGAATGAGTGAATGAATGAGTGAATCAGTGAATCATTAAATAAATTAGTGAATGGATAAGAGGGTGATTGAATGATGGGATAGCTGTATTAATAAGTGAATGAATGAGTGGTGTAGTGGGTGAATCAGTGTCCTCCTCTAACCCTGGTCTGGTTACAGTAAGAGATGGACTGGGGAAGGAGACGGTAACCACAGCAACCGCCTCACATTGCTTTTGGCAATCATGAATCATGCTGTGCTCTTGTCTGTTTCCATGGTGAATGCGTGGCTGAGGAGCGGGAGACTCTATTGTTGCAGCAGTTTCTTCTCTCATAGGGTGGGAACAGGGTGTTAAGGGGGTCCAGACCCCCCTGCAGGCTCTCGCCAGCTCCTAACCCCCTGCCCCCACCCCCTCCAACCCCCTCCCGTATGTCGCCCTGGCAGATTCAGGGTCAGGTGACTCCACACGCCATTGTGGTTCTGCCCAAGACGGATGGCATGGAGATGCTGCTGTGCTACGAAGACGAGGGCGTCTACGTCAACACCTACGGACGCATCACCAAAGACGTGGTGCTGCAGTGGGGCGAGATGCCCACCTCCGTCGGTACGTCAACCAATCAGCTCGCTTCTCCCTGACCCCCCTGACCTCTGACCTCTATAAGCGGTCTCAGCAGATCATCCTTCACCCTCACTATTATCTGCCACACCTCGTCCGTTCAAAGCAACACTCCTCTCTCTCCTCCTGCCTTTTGCTTTCAGTCACACCTTTAAACAAGAAGCCAAGGCTGTAGTCTCAACTGTTTCATTACCTACTCAAAGGAATACAACAGGTTTTTGAGGGTTGAATAGACTGTTCAGCTGTATTTTGTAGAGTGATGAAAGCATACTGCACACAGCAGGAGCCAGTGTCATCCATGTGAAACTGACTGTTGCTTCATGCTAACACTTTTACATGTTGAATAACAACCTGCTCAGGACTCTTTTCTTGAATGAGTGGTGCATGGTGCAAAGCAAATTTTAGAAATATTATCTCTAGCTGTGCTAGGGACTGGCTCACATAGATGCAAAGGTGTAGATTGTTCAGGTGGGCATGCAGGGGACCTCAAAGGGCTCTCCCTCTCCAAAACAAACAAACCTGGAGATTCCCACTTACGTCTGATAACTTAAGATCCAGACGTCTGGTGACTAAAATCCCTCATCCAGTTGAAATTTATAATTATAAAAACAACTAAAATATGAAAAGCGTATCCTAAAAATATGGCTTGATAAACTGGATAAAAAGTCAGTTTGTGATAGCTTCTGGTAGACAACTACAACCTTTTTATTCTTTTGTGGGAGGATCTGAGGCTACTCAAATATTAAATGTTTTGTGTGAGTTATAGTTGGAATAAAGGATAACAGTTTCAGAATTAAAAATCACTTAAAAAGTGTTATCATGGAGCTCTGCAGTGTCAGTGTTTTCATCACTTAACTGGTGAGTTGACCAAAGAATGGCAACCCAAAAACTCAGCGTATTTCTTTAACGTCAAGTGTTGAACATTCATCTGCTGCATGAGATGACAACAACACGCCCCACTGAGCATTACCTCGACCCTCTGCCCCGCCATACACACACACACACACACACACACACACCAGTCCAGTCACCAGAAGATTGGCATTGTATGTTTTTGCAAACCACAAATATGTTATATTTGTATGTTTAATATGTATCATATCAACATTTCTAAAGTGATGTAATATATGAGCTGACTTTGTCATCAGAAGGTGGAGGGGATTGTGGTTGGTGTGACACCTAGACAAGTTGTTGTTTTTTTAGCAAGTCATTGCTGTGTTACCAGCAGCTTTTAAGGCAGCAAATGTGGATGTATTTTAGGAGCTAGTCTCTACGTTTCCTGGAGCTTTTAGTTCCCAGCCTTCACTGTTTATCCTGTGCCTCTTAAATTCCCAAATGTTGGTGTAATTTAGCAACCTGTGACTGTGTTTCTTGTAGAATTATAGTTCCCAAATGTGGGTGTTTTTAAGCGATCCATGGCTGTTTTTCCAGCTGCTTTTCAGCCCCCAAATATGGATGTGTTTTAGGGACCTGTCCCTGTTTTTTCTGCAGTTTTTTAGTTCTCAAATGTTTGTGTTTTTCAGCGACCCATGGCTGTTTTTTCATTGCAGATCGTGCCAGAAAAAGTAGTTGTCTTTAACAACTTCACTGCTTTTCAGCAGGGATTGTGCCCCCAAAATGGATATTTTAAGCTAAAACATTTTTCCTGACCACAACCACACAAGAAGCTTTTATGCTTAAACCTAACCACATATTAAGCACAGTGTTGCTGAAACATAATATTCAGGTTATTGATACTCTAAAGTGTTATTGTTGTCTTTTATTATGTACTGACTGGCTCATCTGGCTTAACTGGCTTTGTAACATGTCCTTGTGTGACTTAAAAGGCGCTTATAACTTAACTGTGTTATTGTTATTATTATAATTGGTAAAGTTTCAACATGACTGCTACATCATAACATGCAAATGTAACATATCCATGGTTTGCAAAAATGTACAATGCCAGCATTGTTTTATTGCGATTGGTGTACATGCGCGCGCGCGCACACACACACACACACACACACATCTTTTACTTTGGACCCTCCTTTTTATCTGTTTTTTTGTGTTGGGGGAAATGCTTGCGTGTTGTTTGTCTGCTGTGTTTAATTCTGTCCTGTTGTTCTGTATGACTGTTAAATATTTCATTCTAACATTCATCCTTGATTGCATGAACTCTAAAACAGCTTAAACTAAACGATATTTGCAAGATTCTGCAGACTAAAGGTTTACAGTGCATCTAAATGGATCTATTATTTATTAGTAAACTCAGTCGGACCGCACAAAGAGGAAATTCGAGCACATCAAGGATGGATCTCGGATGTTATAATCCGGGTGGATCAAAGTCTCTGTGTTTTTCCATTTGGCCTTCACTCTCTGATTCTCAGATGTCAGTGTACTATAACCTGATTGATTAAACATGTATGTTTGACTGACTGCGTCTGTGTCCTGAAGCACTGGTGGTCACTGTATGTGTTCAGCGTGTGGACATCGTCTCCTGTTAACATGTTTGTGTGTATTTTACTGTCAGACCAGTTTCTCACAGCCAAGCCCAGACAAAACACAAAAGCTGCGTCGTCGTAGCTTCAATCTCTTTCCTCAGCATCAGAAAAAACAGAGCTCTATTGCAAGAGAGGAGGAACAGAAAGATCTTCCACTGAACTTTATTTCTCTGCTGACCCTTTTCCACTGGTTTAGTCTCTCACACTTAAGACATGGCTCAGCAACATGTTATTTGTATTTCTGTGCTCAGAAGCCATATAGCGCCAAAACGTAATGGCCTTCAGCACTGATTAAAGAGAAAGCACATTTTTAAACAATGTTCCTGAGATGTTCCTCAGATTAAAAGTTTTCCACTAGAAGGATTTTAATGTGAAGCAGCTTCAGAAAAGCTAAATTTGTCAGTCATCTTAGTCACTCAATTGTGCTCAAACAATTCATTTAAATAAAATACTGACATCAACGGTAATGGATACCCAGCAAGCATCCTGTTAGGCTGTCCTGCATTATGTGTTGCTTTGACAGCATCTTTCCCAACGCCATGATGAGCTCAGAGGTCGTGATCGTTCACATCAGTCAGAAACTGCTGCAATAATCTCCTCCCGGAGGTGAGGCTGAGGAAGCCTCACTGTGTGACTGGCTTGGGTGTGAGACTGGTGATGAGTCTTCTCCTGTCCAATCCCCCTCTGCGTGTGTGTGTGTGTGTGTGTGTGTGTGTACGTACGTACGTACCCTCTCCTCTTCCTGCAGCCTACATCCACTCCAACCAGATCATGGGCTGGGGAGAGAAGGCCATTGAGATCCGCTCCGTGGAGACGGGACACCTCGACGGAGTTTTCATGCACAAGCGAGCTCAGCGACTGAAGTTCCTGTCAGAAAGGAATGACAAGGTGAGTGAGTTGGACCTGGACTTTGTGTCCATCAGTGCTCTCTCTCTCTCTCTCTCTTCCTCATAATCTCTACAAAACAGATACCTGCAAATGTATGCAGGATCTGTAAGCAACGGGAGAAGATTTTGGTATCGGAAGTGTTGTGGTCTCAGGTTGTTGTCCATTTGTAGCTTGGATTTATAAAGAGAACTGGATGAGGGGCCATTCATTCCTATGAAAGTTGCCCAGTGGTGCATGAAGCCAAAAAAAATTAACTTCTGTGTGTAAAATCACCCAGATCTTTGGCTTTGCTACCGCATCACTGGGCCCATAGAGCAGGGGCACTCGAGACTTCTGCCAGCTAAGTGGCTGACTTCTGAGTTAGCCCTCTGTTAATTTGAATGGGGCTAAAATGCTTCTAGACTTTCGAGATGATATTGGAATGTAAAGATCGAATCCCAAAAGGAAAGGTAATCATTTTGCAGAGGCTGTGACGCTAAGAAATATTATCCACTAATTTACAGTCTCTTTCACAATACAAGGCTATGTAAGTCTTTTTGGTACCAATGGCATCACTTGACAGACCCAGAAGTTGTAATTACACAGTTTGTCCACTATAATAATAATAATAATAATAATCATAATAATAACTTTAATTTATATAGCGCCTTTCAAGAAACCCAAGGTCACTTTAAGATACATAGTAATGAAACAATAACACCAACAGAACAGAACAGAACTATGTCAAATTGTTCTTAAAACCAGGCGCTATTCCTGGAGCTTGGTTTGTAGTCCACGTATTAGCCAATCACATTCTCAGAACCTATTGTCAGATGACCATTTAGCTTTTTATTAGCTTTTTAAAAATTTTGTCTGCATGAATATGTAGATATTTAATTATAGAGATAAATTGAAATGTTGCCTGGACCTGTCTCAAGTTGCTAATCAAACTGTAAACAGTGAGCGCAGCACTGAGGAGGGAAGTCTGGATATCCGCTGGCTACATCAGACCCTAGAATCACCCAAACTACCATATGTATTTGTATTTGGACAATTTACCAGTCATCTGAAGTGAGTTTTCTTCTGGTTATCAGTTGCTAGTGCTGTAACTCAGGGTATTCAGACACCAACACTATCAGCTCTTCCGCTTTCAGCGGGTGAAGCTATTGTTCAGGAGTATCGCTATTCTAAAATACATTAGCCAGGTGAAGCTGAAGTTAGTTTGGTAAAGTATTTCTACTTTGTTGGGATATTGCTACCACCAAGTGTTGCCACTTGTTGTGGCTTGCTGCTGAAAGCATTGGTACTTTCGACAGTCAGCAGCTCAAACTACTGTATGGTGACAGGCTTGTCTGGGAGGTAAAACTCAAGCAACAGACCGTAAACGAAGCGTCAGGTGACCAAGTTTTTGTACGTGTTGGTGGGCAGTTTAACTAGGTCCTGGAGAGACAGTTTGCCGAATGGAGACATTTGGAAACTTCTGTTCGTAGCAAGAGTAGGTTTTTGAATGACTGGCAGCGTAGTGTTAAGCCCTTTTATAGGAGGAGGGTCTCAACCCTCCCTGATACTGACTCACTTGATTCCAGCTATACTGGCTGGCAGAATGTAATAGGAGCCTCTGATGAGGTCACGCTGTAGGCGTTCCCATTGTGAGACACTCACTCATGCTATGCAAGTAACCTAAAGTTTTGTCCTCATAGCGTCAAGGAACATTATTGTCCTTTTCTTCTGTGGTGTCGCACCTTAAAGTACTGTTTTTTTAAAAAAAAAATCAGTGATTGAAGTCCATTTGATAATGATTTTTGAGATTAAAGTTTTACACACGAATAGACAATGTGACTTGACCACTCAGGTTTTCTGTTTAGACCAATACATATATAAATAAACTTCACCATTTCTACTGTATCAGGAGTGAATAATTTGGGGTTTTAGATAACAGACCAGTAAAGGTCATTAAACTGAAACAGATAAAAAAAAAGTCCCTACAGAGACAGGTGTTGACTGAGGCTAATGCTGTCCTCTCCGTGTGTTTCCTCCCTGCAGGTTTTCTTCGCCTCAGTGCGTTCTGGAGGCAGCAGCCAAGTCTTCTTTATGACCCTGAACAGAAGCTCCATGATGAACTGGTAACCTTTCTCCTTCGACCCACAACCCTCCTCTTCTTAACTCTGAACATCGCCCGACATCAGGAGAGAGGGATAACAGGAGGACAGCGTGTGTGTGTGTGTATGTGTGTGTGTGTTTGTGGAGGAAAATGTGGAGTTGCTGAATGGACGATTGAGCAACTGGAGGAAGAGTTAAACCACAGGAGTGTGCCACCCCTGTATAGACACCCTCCAACTATAGGGGGGCGCTACAGGCCCCATGGATGATTTCACTGCCTGCTGGACAAAGGTGACTCCACGCATTGACAGTGGGCGATGCCTTCACCTTCCCTGTGGACTGTTCGATGGGCTGATGGTTGTGCTTGAGGGTTTTGATCCAGACTTTAAAGGACACTGACATCATGCCGAGTAGCCTTTGACCTCCTCACTGGATTGAATGGGGACCTGTGGAGAAGTTCTTTGTGTAGCACATTAATGATTTCTTACAGGGTGTTCACACTGCGAGTACGATTCGTCGTTCGACTCTGCTTGTTGGTGGTAATGCAGGGGTGCTGAAGCCAATCAGAAATCTTTTGGTGCGCTGTGTTACAGTGAGTAAACATTACTGGTTATTAAGGTAGCATCAATAGAGGAAGAAAACTTGACTTTGCATTGACCAAAATAGTGGATGCAAATGTTTTTGAGACAAGCTTATCTGAAGTGTGTCAGTTTAAAAGTTACTCTTAGCTGAACCAAAATCACTTCATCCACACTAATCTCGGTTTTCCCCATCGGTTTGGCCCTGTGTCCACACTGAGCTATGTTTTTCTCTCCCAAACATTTTAACTTTTTGAAAACAAAGTACAAAAAACAATAAACTATTCAAATGTTTCACTGTCACAACATCAGCCTGAACAGACATGGCCATCGACATTTTGGCAGTTAAGTTAAAAAGCAACTGATCACTGGATGTTGACAAGACATCAAGTAAAGTCTCATTTGCAATCTGTGATTTCAGATTGTTCTAGACGACAATCGTGAGAAAAACGTGGTGAAATCTTTGGACCATGGTCCTCCTAGATCTTACTGTTATATTTACTATTGTAGAGCAAACATGGCGAAGCAAATTTAAATTAAATTTAAATTTTCTTCATTTGTCAATCCACACAATCAATCAGTTGGCAGATGAAATGTACCTCCTTGTGTATCCCTCTTTTATACACACAGCACACACATGCATTAAACGAGGTTGGTTAGTGCAGCATCAGCCATAGTACAGTGCCCCACAACAGTATAGGGGTTTGGTACCTTGCTCAAGAGGACCTTTGCAGTGCCCAGGAGGCACTGCAAAGGTCCTCTTCAGCTGCCAGTACACACTCCATATTTGGTCTGTATGGGGACTTGAACCGGCAACCCTCTGGTTCCCAAGCCAAGTCCCCGCAGACTGAGCCACTGCCACCCCAATGAAGCCACAGTGTGACTGATGCTTGGGGCTGGGTGTTGGTACTCAATGCCTTTATGGTATCAACCAAAATAACCCAGAATCTAAATTTCTCTACTCAAACAATAACTGCATTCAATCCTATTTGTGTCAGGAGAGTGATCCCCGACCGTCCTGAATCTCTGCCAGATACGCTATCTTTCTGTTGCAGCTGTCTCCGTAGCCGCTCTCCTCCAGCAAACTGTCAGTTCAGTGTTTCCCCGGTTAGCACGAACTAACTCTCACATCTGTCCCTGGAATGGAGCTTACACTCCCAAACAGTCTGTGTTGCGGTGAAGTCAAGCACAGTGTATTAGACAGAGTTGGCAGGTCAACGTACAGAGATGTCACTGACCCATTTTAAAGTAAAACTACTATACTAGACCACATTCGATATTATGGGTATCAAATTGTGTACTCTACTGGTATCGGTATCACTTTGAAGGTGCTGATGTTGGTACTGATAATGTAATTTTTTAAACAATCCCCAACTTCTGCTACTGTATGACACTTGTCTACAAACCAAAATATGGCATAAATTGACACAGACTACACAGGCAAGCTAGTGTTATACTTCAGCTGAAAACATAACCTCAAGGTCGCTTTGCAGAATTGCCAATTGAAGTGTTAGCACTGTGACTAAAGCTTGTTTTGGCGTCACTTTTGAACCTGACATGGATGATGCAAGTGTCTCTGCTTACATCTGTTTGTTTTTCAATTAATATCAAGTGCTACAATCCAGCATTCAACATTCATCAAACAATCTGACATGACTCAAAGCTGATATCATACAGTCTGACACAGATTGTGACCAAGACTTTATTGGACTCATCTCACACCTCAGACAGAGATTTTGCTACTTTCCTTTTGTTCAGGCATTTAATTATGAACAGAGACATTTACAAAAACTACCTAATATGGACACAACTTTGCTAAATTAGCTGTCTAAGAGGCAACCTGGATGGATTGTGGCTGATGATAGCACCATGAATTTCACATTACTTGCAATCATCACCTTATCTGTCCCGAATCGAGGTCAAATTCACGAAAGGTATTAGGCTAATGATATTGTTGTGCAATCTGTCTATAAAGTTTTGCAGCGGAGTGCAGTTTGCCTTTTTTAGCGTCTGATTGCAGTTATCCATGCGGCAAATTATAAAGGCTGGATTTGAGCCAACAAAACATTAGACAGAAAAATAGCAGAGAAAAAGAAAGTACAATTTTCAGATGGTCCTGACCGAGCCAGGGATAGCAATAGCCAGAGCCAATATGATTTCGGGTTGACTGTCTGAACGTCCATCCGTCCATCCATATGTCCATCTGTCCCATTCTATCTCATGAACACCTTGAGGGAATTTCTGAAATTTTGCGCAAACATTCACTTTGACAAAACAATGAACTGATTCAATTTTGTGGTCTAAGGTCACTGTGACCTTGCATCGATCTCATTCTTGTGATCGTGATATCTCAAGTACGCCTTGGGTGGAATTTCTTCAAATTGGACACAAACATCCACTTGAACTGAAGAATAAAGTGATTAGAAAATGATGGTTGAATGTCAAAGTTACTGTGACCTCGGAAAACGTGTTTTTGGCTATAACTTAAGAATTCATATGCTAATTATGACAGAACTTCACAATATGTCCAAAATGTCCAATAGATAAAATAATGAGACATGGCCGAAAGGTCAAACGTCAGTTCGCTGTAGTGTCATAATGTTCTGCATAAAACACTTCCCTGGCCATTACTCAACATCTCAGGAACAGATGGGGAGACATTTGGTCAGATACTGAATTGGTGACACTAATCTTGGGTATCCATCTTGAAACTGTGCTGATTGTATAGATCTTCTGTGTTGCCGGGGGGGAAGATGTGTGTGAAGCATCCATGTTTTCACAAACATGGATGTAAACTGTAAGAGAAACTTGACCGGAGGCGTGGAGGCATACAACCACAGGTTGGTCATTTTAGTTTTTGACATGAAACTACTAACTCAGTGTTTTTACCAGATTCAATCACCAGGCCTGTTTGTTTTGGAGAGGAAGAAACCTCTGCGGATGATTTGTCTACTGCTAAAACCCTCCTGATCAAAGACCAGTGATGGAATTCTAACCAAGGGAAGTTCCAGCTGGTTGCAATGTGCAATCCTCACCTCTGGAGGTCAATAAATCCCCCTAAATCAGGCATGCCGTTCCTTTAAATATGTGCAAATAGCACAGGATCACCAAGTCGCCGTATGTTTTGCAGAACAGTTAGGGATGCATTTTACCCTTTGCAGGTGCTTTGAGAATTACATAGTTTATTTTTGTCTTATTTGTGCAGGCTTAGCGGGCACAAAAGCTGTGCAATCCTTTAATGAATTTGCCTTTAAGTGTGGACACAGTTTGTATCAGCCTTTAACCACTCTGAGGCCACTGGTCAAATATTGAAGTCAGATTATTTATATGGTGGTCCTTGTTGTTTTTATTATATAAACCACCTCTGATAGTGATGACTGAATCTTAATAGATGTTTTCTTGACTAACATCTTGTAGCAAAAACCTTGAGAGTGTCTTCTTCACAGATGTTTTTCTCATAAAGCAAATTACATCCGAATCCAGTGATCCTAGAAAGTTGAGCTGTGGTCGACGAGCAAGTTGTTTGCCTGATCGTTGCTCTCTATGTGTTGGAAGTGAATGGATTTGATGACGCTCATAGTGCTCATAGTGTGAACACTCATTTTGAGTGCTGCTGGTGAAACACCTTCTGTGTCTCTTTCCCATCAGGAGAGAAAAATACCACAAACATGAAGTGAGTGTCATAGGGGAAATGAGACATTTTACATCTGTCGCTGCACAGTTGGTTTCAGCTACTGCGGCTACTTTGTACTGGTGTATGCCTAGTAAAGGAAGGAAGGTTGTAGATATTGTACTACTGCTGCAACAGCAACACAATAATGAAATCTTCACATCATTTCTCACAAGAAGAATTTGGTGTAGATTAGTTTTCTGCCCTTTGTTCACTCCACCTTTTTCTGTCCCTGCTGTTCTGTGTCCTCTGCACCTGTGTAAATACTCACTTTGATGTTAAGGACAGACTTTGCAAAAGCAGGTGAGAACAGTGAAAAAAAAACAACAGTCTTGCTTTTTTTTGTCATACCTCTGTAAATCTGTCCGTTCTGTAGTTTCTCTTAGATGGGAGTTTTTTTTCTGATGATAAGCCGAGCGAAGACTTACACGAATGTTTGGTTTGGGTTAACACTCCAAGTTTTTCTCTTTTTCTCCGTAGTTCATCACTGTTTATTTAGTTGTGCATTTGCATGGTGGCATACATGTTTTACCTGTCGTCACTTGTTATGAATTGTAAGTTTAAGGCAATACACAGACTGGTCTGACTGCAGAAGCTGAATGCTGAGAGTCAAACTTTATACAGAAGCCCTGAAGCATTTTCCTTACAAGACTGAGCTGTATATTGAAAGTTTTGAAACTGTAAGAACTTAGCTTAGGGCTTTTATCTCATGAGTAACAGTCAGATAAGTCAAGATTGTACACTGAATAATTATAAATTTACCATTACATTTATATTTTAGGTATTTTGTTGATGCTCACACCCAGAGCAGCTTTTAAAGAGCAAGCAGGACGGGGCTCATTTTTCACCAGGTTGACTCTTTGATGATGAAAAATGCTGATGTTTAAGGTATTGTAATGAGGCTGTGAGAGAGAAAAGTGGTTCACCTTTTACTTGATATTTCTTTTATTGTTCATTGATCTTAAAGGATGCGATAGGTGTAAGCGATGCCACTTTAAGGCCAGCTGAAGCCTTTTACATGTGCAGGATGTTAGCATTAATCAACACCCTGTGAATAAAGGTCAGGAGGCAGGGTCAGTTTGAGAGACCATAGATGAAAAAGATATATATACTGTAAGAATTTTCGTTTATGATGATATCTTACTGATCATTTTAGAGAAAGACAAAAAAATATTGTTCACTTATTAAAGCTTAGTTGTCTTTCTACAGAATAGAGAACATAGCTATAAGAATTTCTAAAAAAAAAAAATACAATGTTTTTATTGTGGTATTATTTGTATTTGTATTTCAATTTTTGTACGTATCAAGACTGTGAACGTATGTACGGCTGTCAGCCTGTGCGCGTGTGTATGTTTGAGTGTGTAGGTGAGCAGGTGTGTGCACAGGTGTGTGACATGCATGTGAGTGTATGTTTTCACCTTGTCTGAATCACTGGAATCAGTCAAAAGACGACCTCAATCTGGTAACACACATCTGTGATGTTGGAAATTCTACAATAAATGTCCTCTCCTTGTACAGCAACACCACCGGCTCCACTCTCTTTCTTTACTCTGGGTTTGTATGACAAAGTTCTTACACCATACAGTGTTGTTGACAGGTGCGTAGGATAAAAGGAACCTACACAATGTTGATCACTTGCACTCAATAATAAAAGGAGTACAAGTCATTATCATTGTACATCTACCTTGTCTGCTTTCAGGAAAAATGGTGTTTTTGTTGTTTGCTCAAATTTGTTTCAATTCTCAATTTTTTTGTGCAGGTGATAGCCGTGGCTGGAGGCATTATGTTTACTGATTGTCCGCCCATCACTCTGTTTGTCTGTCCATTTGTTTGTCCGTTCATCCCATTCTCGGGAATACGATGGGCCCTATTTAGATGGTCTAAAGCGGACGGCGGAGGGCGCATAATCCATGTCGCAAGTGTCATTG